GTCTGGAGTGGGGCCAGTTCCCGGAGCAGGAGCGCTGGGATGGGCAGGGAGCATTTTGCGCTCGGAGAAGCTGGATCTGGTCCTGTCATGAGCTGCAGGCTGTGTGTGTACGCGGGAGATCCTACATTCCAAAGCCTGCCCGCCCGCATCCCGTTCTCCACCCGGGGTCAGGAGTCCAGGAGAGGGGGGAGTCTAGGGGCCTATGCTGAGGTCCTCTTCAGTGCATCTAAATGGGTTTTGTGCTGGTGGGAGCGTCCATGTCGGCAGCTCAGGAGTCCTCAGTTACTCACTGTAATAAGGGGGTCAAAGGCAGAAGCCGTATGGCTTTCCCCCAGCCCCTGGGTCCCAGCCCTGGGAAGCCCCCCATCCATCTGCTGAGACAGCTAACATGGGGGTGGCACCATTCTTAGCAGGCCCGGGGACATTTGTCCCTGAGGAACCAAGCTGAGACCCAGCAAATTTGCTCCATGTAGGTCACTAGTTCTCCATCTCTTCTGTACCTACCCCCCGCCCCATCTAGCTGGCATCCCCCTTCTCCTTAGCCATGGGGGAAAAGCAGGAGCATTGTGACCCCCCGACACTATGTGTTCTGCTCCCCATGGGCTGAGAGCCCCTGACCCAGGCTGCAATCCCGCCCACCGTTCATGTCACATGGCCCACAGGGCTGAGACCCAGAGAACTCACTTCATGCAGCCCCCGGAAGCAGGATGTGAGACGACACCTGGGATGTTCTAGGGAGTGCCTTAACTCCTGGCATCGAGACGCGAACCTGAGCGTCTCTGATCCCATCTGCGCTGCATGGGCATCCCCACAGGGCGGCCCAATGCCCTGCCTCAGCATGCACTGGGCTCAGGGCAAGATCCGGGACCGATTTTCTAGGGGACAGCCTCTGTCTTGGTTACCCCGAAGTCCTGGTCAGGCTAGAGTGGGCTGTTCCCCAGAGGTTACAACAGTGTCCGTGGGGCCAGTCTCCTTGATCTTCAGACTCAGTGAGCCTGGTTCTCAATCAGAATCACGCCCCTCTGGTGGCGTACAGGGGCTGCAAAGTAGGTGATGCCTTGAGAATCCCTCTGCGCTGGGGATCTGCCCAGCTTGTGTGGAGCTTGTGCAAAGGTCTTGCACCCTCCCTGCATCCAGTCCCTGGCACAGGGGACAGATCAACGGTGTGGCCGGAGCAGCTCTGATGCAGAGGTGTCTGAAAGCAACATCCCCTGAGCCATCCAGCCCCCCGCCAGCTCACACTTTGCATGAACTGAGGCAAAACCAACCCTCTGCAACAACTGCTCCCAGAGCTCTCGGCCCGGCACCGGGGTCTCTGAGCGTGGAATAGCATTGCTAAGCCCAACACTGGGGTGCATGTGGAAAATATTCAGAGCTGGTGCGGGCAGTCTGCTCTGGAGGGTGTCTCAGAGTCTGTGCATGGCTCTGTTCAACGTCTCGATGTCAGGTGACCTGGAACTGTTTTTAGTCACCTCCGTAGCTGGGAGTGGGGGGCGGTATCTTTGCAGCCCTCTGGGTTCAGGGGCTAGTTCTCACCCTTTGGCATAGTTGCTATGCTCAGGAGAGGCTCCCGGGCTGGAAGAGCAGGGAACGATGCGGGCCAGGATTGAGGGGCATCGGCAGAGCTGTAGGTGGGGAGTCCAAGATTGGAAGAGCAGGGTGGGTGTTGAGAGTCACAATGGAGGGACAAATAGATGCAGACTACCATGGTGGAAGGGGTTGTCCTGCCTCCCCTAACGATGGTAGCTAGGTTGACGGAAGCATTCTTCTATTGACTTCGCTGTGTCTACACTAGGGGTTTGGTAGGTCGACCTAAGTTTTGAGTGTAGATCAGGCCTGAGTCTCATGTTATTACAGGACTCCGGGGGCTGGGGATTTAAGAAGAGCTACAGCTATCTGGAGACTTGGCAATGCTATAACACAGGTCACAGAATCTCAGCCAGTTCCTGCCCGATAGCCTTGTCTGCTGGGGGAAATTCAAATGGATTAACCAAAAGTGCACATTTAAACCAGATTAAACCCCGCTGTAGACTCTCTCATTCAGAATAAAAACAGCCTTAATTTGTGTTAGTTTAATTCACTTCCAAAGCGCAGAATTATCCTGGAATTAAATCACATTTATTCTGTACTAGGATGTCTATTCCAGTCAATTTCCCTGTGTAGACAAGCCCTGGGCATGCAAAGAGGCTGTTGCATTGGGGAAGGAGCCCAGGGGAACAGCAGAGCAATGTGGTGTGGAGGACAGAGGGGCCCTGGGACTGGAGCGGAGGACAAAGGAGGGGAGTGCATGGAGCAGGGGTGTCACATAGCTTTCTGAGAAGACAAACTGGCCCTTTCGTTCCTGGGACATCAAAGCTTCCGTCTCACTCCCTGCTTGCCGGAGGGGGGAGGCGGAGTCTCATGATGGATGATGGGTTCAGCGAGGCTGTTTGGTAAGCGGTGGGGGGGACTCATTATGACTGGGTAACGAGGAGGCACTAGACTCTGAGTCTTATTTACACTGAGGCCCCTTTGCTGTACTCTGTCGACTTCACTTATACCCATTTTAAGGCCCTTTTAGCTGGTTTAAGAGGCCTTGGTGTAACCAAGAATCAGGCCCTTATTTTTATAGGGTGCCCAGGGTTAGCGACCTGTTTTATCCAAAGTGCTGAGCACCTGCAACTCGATGCACCTCACAAAATCAGGCCCCATGCATCTCAGGCTCAGCACTCAATGTAAGAGGCTGCTTCTGAAAATCTGGGCCTTGACTGCTCTCTGCCTCAGTTTCCCCCATCTGTAAAATGGGGATGGTGCTATTTCCCTACCTCTCAGGGCTTAAAGGGTTAATGTAATCGTGTCTGGAAAGTGCTTGGAAGATGGAAATGTGCTCAGGTTTCTGTTCTGGACGTTAGTCCGAGTTCTCAGGCGTGGCTTCATTGTACTTGAGCACAGAGGCGCTAGGGGGCGCTGTGCAGCAGGGAGCGGGGTGGGTGACTCAGTAGGGGGCACTCTTCCCTATGTGTCAGTGCTGAGCCCAACTCCCCAGCTTGATGCAGGTGAGATGGTGCAGATGAGATGTAAAACAAGACCCTTCCTGCTTCTGCCTACTCAGTATCCTATAGCCCTTTTCACAAGCCTTGTTGTCAAATTCCAGTCATGGTGGCTGTACTGGCTTCCCTAAAATTCCCCCCGGAGTTTTGTTGAGGTGGAGTATTTTCCCTCACTTCCACTGAATTGCTGTGAGGCGTAACATTGCTGTGAGCTGCTAAAGCGTAGACATGGCCCACCCCAGAAGTGGCTGCATTTCCGTGCAGGTTGAGTGAGCCCTGTGCAGCATTGCTGCATGCTGTTAAACAGCTGCCATGTTCCACCCCAGACATGGCCCCAGTGCACTGGCAAGTGAAGCAGTCCAAGTATATCCATTACCCTGAGATCATGCAGGATAAAAGACGATCTGTTACATGCCAGAATTGTTATTTTTATGACCTAACATCATGAAGCAATTTTTACAAGAGGACTAACCTTACCACGCCCTTAATGAAACCACAGCAATCTCTGTTTGCATCAAATAATCAATGAGCCCCAAAATAAAATAAAGTAAAAACTGGCAGCCTCTGGAACTTGGAACAACTTCAGGTTTCAAAAGAGCCTTTTCAGAAACAATAAAACATTCCCAGAGGGAGAGATCATTACTTCCCTTCTTCCCCTCGGAGAGTCACTTAACCTCTCTGGGCTGGGTTCATGCCGATGTAGAATCCCAGCTGTTCGAGGGCTTGGGAGGATTTAGGGTCAGGTGGCTTGGCTTGACCCAAATGTAACAGCCACGCTCCCTAGCTCTTGTCATCCAGTAGATTCAAAGCCTTTCACGAAGGAAGTCAGTTTCATTACCCCCCACTTTTATACCTGGTGAAACTGAGGCACAGAGAAGGGTAGGGACACACTCAGTGTTGGAGCTAGGAACAGAACCCAAACCTGCTGTTTCTCAGGCCAGTGTGCTACCCACTAGGCTGCGCTGCCTCTCCTGTGCAAATTAGCAGTGACCCCATTGAAGTGGATGGTGTTTACATGGATGAAGTGCAGCATAGCCTTAGGTTCTGTTTTTTGAATGGCTAATAGGGGTTTGAATCAAGGGCTAGTGGATTGTTAGGCAAATAAAGAGAAACCCAGCGTCCTCGATCCGTTACTAACCCCTCGATCTGCAGCACCGTCCCGGGCTCCGGCGTTCTGCAAGCTGCAGGGAGGAGCTGTATGGGTTCCCACCGCCAGCTCTGCCCTGAGGGCTAACAAAGCCCTCATTCTCCCACAGTGCAGGGTGAGCTGTCCCCAGAGGAAGGTGACATCTCTTTGTCTAGGACTAGATCCCCCTTGTTGTCTTTGGCAGACCGTGCGTCTTCTCACATTTCCCCCTCTCCGTCTCTTGTGCAGATTAAGTAACGTGATGACAAGAATTCTGTCTCCCACCCCATTTTCCGCCCCCCTCAGGTTTCTACTGTAACATAGCTGCTGTTGTGTATGTTGCCACTGCCCCCTACTGGAGAGAATTGGGACTGATCAACATTGTCTCATAAACCCTCTACTGCTACTGAGGATTCTCCTTTAGTGCAGGTGGCTCAGGAGCACTTGAGTTCTGTCCCCACTTACTATTTGTAGAACAATTGCTCCTAGAAGCTCCAAGTGAGACTAAAGCCCCCATCATGCCAGGCGCTGCACAGACAAAGACGGCTTCTGCCCCAAGGACTTCAGTCTTAACAGACAAGGAAGAATTATGAGCCTTATTTTTACAGATGGGGGAAACTGAGGCACAGAGCGAGTTGCCCAGCGTTAGTTGGTGGCAGCACTGGGAATTGAACGCTTATGTCCTGAGTCCCAGTCCAGTGCTTTGATCCCCTAGCCCAACTTATTTCTGCTATGCATGGCAGCCTGAAAGACGTGAAGCAGGGAGCCCCCACCCTAGTGGGCAGCCTGTCCCTCTTTCCTGCTGAAGGCTTGCACTAGAGGGTCTGACGCCGTCTCCTTTGCAGGCGTCAGTGTGATGCTGAGGAAGATCGCGGTGGCTGCAGCCTCCAAGCCAGCCGTGGAGATCAAGCAAGACGGCGAGACCTTCTACATCAAGACCTCTACCACGGTGCGCACCACCGAGATCAACTTCAAGATCGGGGAAGAGTTCGAGGAGCAGACTGTGGACGGGCGCCCCTGCAAGGTAGGGCGAGCTGCTCCGGGCAGCTGGGGCTGCACGGCCCCTGCATTTTGGAGCTAAGTCCCCTTTATTTTATTTGCGGGAGGGGGGGAAGCAGAGAGAGATCCCTGGATAGCTCAGGCCTTGGCTGAGGGGCTGATCCTACCCCCATGGAAGTCCCAGGCAAGACCCCCATGAGTCCAGTGGTGGCAGGAGGGCGCCCAGCTGGCCACCGCTTTGCTCCTGCTAATGGGGAGGCGATAAAGAGTCCCTTGGGTGTCCTCTCGGTGGCGTAGGAATACCCGTAGTAAGTGATGAGTCACAAGATGGCGTCCCAGAAGTCAAGGAAGCTCAGGCCTGAGCCTGTAGCGTGAGGGTCAAGTTCTTCGCCGTGGCCCAGCCTTTGTTGCTTCTGTTAATGGGGTGGAGGAAAATAGTCCCTCTGGTAACCATGCCGATGGGGCAGGGATACCCCTTGGGGAGTGCTGAGTCACCAGAGGGCATCCCACATCCTCAGAAGAGGGCTGATCCTGTGCCATAAGGGCCATGTCCTCTACAACCGCTCAGCCTTTGCCTCTGCTAACGAGGAGGGGTCAAATAGTCCCTCGGGGAGCCGTGGTGGCGGCGTAGGGATCCCCAGTTAGGAGGGACACATCACAAGATGGTGTCCCGGCGGAGGATAAAAGCGCCGCCCGGGAGGGTGATGGGTCACGAGTTGGCGCCGTAGAAGCCCCAGCTCAAGGGTGGCAGAGGCCTCCTCGTGCCTCGTCCCGTGATCCTCCTGGCTCCCATCTCCAGGCAGCGGAGACGCTAATAAATATCCAAGCAAACTTCCCTCCTTAATCAATACGGGGGAGACGCTTCTGAGCCTGGCCAATCCCTGTTGCTATTTACCTCCTCCCGCTCGTCGTATGCAAAGACCCTTCTGTGCACTCCCTGCCAGGACAAATACGACAGGGGTTTCCCCACTGGGTCCCGGCTTGGCTTCTTTCTTGGGGACTCTGAGCCTTGCCGGGTGGCTGCCCCGTCTTTGGCCATGAGCTCTGGGGAGGTTTTCGTCACATCACCCCCCATGCGGTCTTGGGGGAGCTCTATCTGCTCTGGTTTATGCCCCCGATCAAAGTGTTTTAAAGGGGCAGCTTGCTCAGCGTGACACATACACAACCCTGAACTCCAACTCTTGCTGTGTGACACCCCTCGGGTCCCGGTCTCAAACTCGGTGTGACACACACGGAACAAGTGTTAGACACATACACACACATCTGGACTCTGACTCACTGTGTGTCCCACACACAGTCTGGATTGCAGTCCCTTGGTGTGACACCACACACACGGACTAAGTGTCAGACAGACAGACACACACACACACACTGGATTACAGTCGCTCACTGTGACACGCACATGCGCTCCTGCCTCTGCAGCTAGCAGCCCGTTCCCTCCTCCTGAAGGGGCGAGGGCTCCTTTCTTCCTCGCCATCCCATCCCGCCCCCCAGCGCCCCTCCGGGTGACAGATGAGCCCACGCAACTGTCAGACCGCACTAGAGTGTGGAACAAATTGCCAGTTTCTCTCTTGTCACGGGCTGGGCCTGCCTAGTGCATGATGGATGAGCCTTGTCTGCCGCTGGGCTAGTAGGGGCGTGGTGGAGGCTTTGGGATTTAAAATGCGGTTGCATTGATCTTCTCCATTCTTTCTTCCTTCCAGAGCCTGGCCAAATGGGAAAGTGAGAACAAAATGGTCTGTGAACAAAGGTTGCTGAAGGGGGAAGGGCCCAAGACCGCCTGGTCCCGGGAAATGACTAACGATGGAGAACTCATTCTGGTAGGCTGGCCTCTGCGTGCAAAGGGTTAAATGCTCCCCACTGCCCCCCGTTGCTGTGAACCCCCTTTGCTTTCTGGCGCAGGGTGGTTAAGCTCCAGCTGCGAGTGCAAGGGTTGCCCATGGAGTGAATGCCTCTGTCTACACTACAGCTGCAACAGTGTTTTGTAACCAGCTTGTGACGCTTTCGTCTGAGCGGTGGCCATCTGGGTCACCTGTGTTTGTGGGTTGGCGGCCTGGCTGGTGCATTCTGGGGCAGCCTGGGCAGCGATCCCATAGTGCCCCAGGAGGGAGTGCCCGGGGCACCTGCATCGCCTGAAGCAATGCATTCTGGGAAGAAGGAGGCCCAACCCAACTGGTTGTACTGGGAGAGGATCCTGCCTATACTGCAAACAACCAGTGTGCTGAACTGGCCAGGGCTTTCCAACAGCTCCCCGCCCAGAGACTCCATCCCAGGGGTCACGTCGCGCACCCAGTGCATGCTGGGACAGGACTTTGGAAGAGGGGCAGGGTCTGACTCCAGTATCTTGCACCTTGTGCAGTCATTTACACCCGCACTCCCCAGCTGGCACTGGTGTAAATGGTTGCCCGAGGTGCAGAGGTGACAGGACATAGGGCCCTGGGTTGGGGGGGAGGGTGTTAGTCCATGCTGTGCTGTGCACCCGAGTGGGCTTACACTGCAGTGTAAACGTACTCTCAGTGACCCGGCTCTGAGTAGTCATCTCTGGTGTCTGCTCCCTTCGTTCATTTCCCCTCTTGCTGTTCCAGACCATGACAGCCGACGACGTGGTCTGTACGAGGATCTACATCAGGGAGTGATACGCCCCGCTGGGCAGCGGAGGGTACTCCTGGCACCGCCCCCTTCCCACTCGTCAATTGCAGCCTCTCCGCCGACCTTCAGTAACTGCTCTGCCGGACTCCAGAGTATCCCGTTTACATGATGCAGGCTAGCGGCGCCGCTCCACTTCATATTCCACTATCAGCCGGTCTCGTTCTCCCCCCCCCCCCCCAGCCTCTCTTTGTCCGTGCACAGATGGTTTAAGACAGCCCACAGAGCAATGTGAACTCCTCCCAGCCCCTCGTCCAAGTGGGTGACACAGAGGGTCCCCATGTATTCATCCCCACCCTGGCTAGAGATGGCGCTAACAAAGCTGTCACTCCCAGCGACAGCGGGTTTGCCTGGTTTGTGCCATGATGGGGAAGGGGCTCTCTCTCAGCCAGCTCACGGTGGGCCCTGGAGAATGCTCACCTTGGTCTGTGCTCCGCTCAGAGATGGCTCTGAGCCAAAGCCCGCTTTCCATCAGCTCCGGTGGGCTTTGGATCAGGCCCATGTGCTGAGCAAACCTGGCAGCCCAGGACTTGCTGGGCTGAGGGTTCTGCTTTGTCACTTCTGGACGATTTTGGGGCCCCTGGAGTATGAGCCGGGTTGAGACAATGAGAGCCACTCCTCACTGATTTAGCCAACAGCTGCCGAAATGCTTGGCAGTTCCGAGACACATCTGCATTTCCAGGCGCTGTACCCCCAAGGCCTGATTCTGGGTTATTCCATTCCTGCACGTGGAGCCGGGATGTGGGGGAATGGGTTAAGATGGCTTTGGCCTCCTCATATTCTGGTGCTGTGCCCAGCCCACGGTGTAAGTTAGAGCAGCCCCAGGGCTGCTCTTCATTGTGCTCTGCCCCCATAGCCTCCCAGATGTAGGGAGTACCTGTAGTGCACTGCATGCTGGCAACACCCCAATTTCCTCTTCTCTGGGAGCAGGGCTGGTGGAGAGTCCTTACCCCAGCTCCACTCCAGCCAGGGAGGCCCTCTGACAGTTGCACTGGTTTAACTAAAGGCGTGAATTTAAACTGGCACAAACCCATTAGTGGATGCTTTTAAACCAGAATAAGAGCATCCACAGGCAGGGGTTTGCCCTGGTTACAGTGAACTGGTTTTAAAACCGATTTCAGTTCAACTGGTGCAACTTTCCCGTGTAGACAAGATCTTCGTTCCCATGGGACAAACAGCTTAGCAGCTGTGCGCTGAGGAGATCAGATTCCCTTCTAGAGTGGGGCTGAAGCTACTTATAGGGCAGAACCCAAAGGCACCTGGATTGTAGAGTGACGTGCTCTGAATGTACTTTAACTGTGGGCAAATAGAGCACTGATTTTCATGCCCCTGCATTATTTGCTCTCTCTCTGGATGGAATTTACCTCTCTGTAACCCACCTTGACAGGTGCTTTGTCCTCCCCTAATAGGAACAGCCCATCCCAAAGGCTCAGATATTCCAATCCTGGCTTCAGTTCCCACATGTGACCCATTTCAGGTGATCAATACCAGGAGCTGCATAGGATGGGTTCCCTCCCCCCCCCCCCCCCCCCCGTGTGAAACATATCAACAGACACAACATTTCAGGTTTTCATTTAAAAAAAAAATCATTTTTCAATAAAACCTCAAATGTTTGAACAATTTTTTCCCCAAACATTTTCATTGCATTGAAAAGCCCTTATCCACAGCGCATGGGGAATGTCCCGCTGGGCACATTTCAGGGCTCTCTTGTGGTTTTATATGTGCCACCAAAAACACCATTCAAAATGGAGTGTCAGTGAGTGAATTGGTGCATTGCCTTTGAGCCGGCCTTGTCTTCGGAGGTACATTACACCGGGGTGGGGGGGGGCAGGCAGTGATTTTAGCTTGGCCTCTGCAACACCTGGTTGACATTTGGGGAAAAAGAAGGGTTGTTTCTTTTTGTTGTGGTCAAGAAATGGCCTTTTTTAATGGCCAATTGGAGTGACAAATCGTTCATTTAAATTTTTTTCCCCCGTGTTACAGTAGAATCCCTAATTGAGACTGAGGAGTCCATAAAATTGAAAAGTTTGTAAAACCGAGCCTCTCCAAATGACAGTAGGTACTCTGTGTAAATGACAGTATGGTACAATGCACCCAGAGCTTAAGGGGGCCTGACAAAAGTGTAGGTGGGTAGGAGGGTCTATCACAACCTGAAAGCAGCAGCTTTGGTAAGACAGTGCTTAAAGTGCGCCCCCTCCGTGACCCTGCTCAATTAAAAAAATATTTGGGGCCGGGTTTACGCCCCCTGGCAACCTTCTCCTCTTCAATCACTGCTTTCTTGTTGTCCTGCAGACCATCTGCAAAGTGATTCCCGGTGCACTGAAGTATCGGAATTGGATGGGACTTGTTCTTCATTGACTTGGTTCACATAACTGGTCCTTTGGAGGGCTGGGCTTTGTAAAATTAACATTATGCTGCGTTGCATGTGATTACTGCGTAGGCTTGTGCATAGGGGTAATTCACCCCCTCTGAGACACCTCCCCCCTCCCGCATCGCATCCCTCTGGACAGCAAGAGTTTCAAGTTTCAAGGTGGAAAGTGTTTTTTGTTTTTTTTTTAAAAAACCTGGCATTGATTTTATTTTATACAGAATATTTTTTCATATTCCCGTAGGAAGCAGCTGTAACCTAGTTGAGATGCATTCCTCTTCCCGTGTAGGGCCTTGTGCTTTCTCTCTCCTCTCTCAGTCGTTGCAACTTTTACTGAGTATTTATTTGTTAATATTTTATTAAAAAGGAAACCGTGAACAAGCCTGTCTCCTGTGGGTCTGCGCAGCATTGGATCTTGCCTGGAACACAATGTCCTTCCGACCCAACTCTCTCTAATAAACGGTTGATGAACGTATGCCTTGTCCTGGTCATTCCTGGAAATCACTGGGGGGGCGTGAAATTCACCAGCTCCGCTTGCCCTCTTTCCGGGAGCCTTGATGCCTCTTTACACAATTCTGGCAGCATCACGTATAGTGATGACTTATGGCTAGGGGGGTGGTGTAAAAGCTGCCAAGGTGACCAAAGCCTGGAGTCTTGTGGAAGTAGATAGGTCAGGATGGGCTGGCCACTCCCAAGGGCTCCAAGGTCTGATCTCCTGTCACCTGCCGAAACCTGAGTGAGTTTGGATCCCCTGCTCCAGATTCAGGCCCAGCTCAGGTATGAACTGGAATGGTTGCTCCTGTGATGATGCCGAGTTTCATGCTCCTTCAGGGCCAGACTGAAGTCAGTGCCGTGGCACCGATTCACACCAGCTGGGGACCTAGCCTAGCAGCAGCCCCAAGCTGGGAGGGAAATGCTCCTGGGAATCTAAAGGATGGGAGACCCCAAGACAGAGGCAGCGGTTCCCGCTCAAAGTAACGGGGTGGAATTAAAGGAAGGGAACGTGTGGCCTGGATAGCAGGCGGAGAGCAAGACGCGATGATGGCACCGAAAGCTTGAGCGCTTTCGACCTAGATGGGACGATGCACCTGCAGACATGCTGCAGAGGGCAGTCCTGTGCTCAGTGTGTGGAAGAAGCAATGCAAGGGCTGTCTCTCCCCACCCCCATCTCCACTTGCCACCCCCTTCTGAGAGGGAGGGGGGCCTTGTGACCCAGGGCCACGCGCTGCCCATGTGAGTCACTTAATCAGTTCCTCATCTGTGACATGGGGATACTGTAATCCTTTCTTTGTGGTTTTCCGGCTGTAGCCTGTGAACTATTTGGGGAAGGGACTTTGTACAGCCCCTAGCGCACGAGGGTTCCCCTCTCAGGAGGGGCGCTGGTGGAACCCCAGTAATAACAATTCCTTCGCCCAGCGCCCTGTTCTAGAGCTGTTTCTCAGCCTGGTTTGAAATGTCCCAAGGGATGAGAGGCTCTTTCAATCTCTTTCTTTCCCCTCCCCCTGCCCCGTTTACTCTCTGGTTCCTGGACTGGGCATGGCCGGGACCCCTGGCTGTAAAATCACATCCTTTGATTCTAATTACAACACAAGCTCTTCCAGCCCGGCTGGCGCGAAGTGTAACAACAATCAAAGACCACGCAGGGGCCCAGAGGGTGCCGAAAAGCCTCAGCTAATACCAGCCCTGCCAACCGCCTGGGGAAAAGACACAAATGCTGCATTGTTAGCCCGAGATCAACTAGATTCCTGCCCGCTTCTCAGCCAGGCTGCGCTTCTGAGGAGGATCTGATTCAATCCTCCCTGGTTGTTCCTCTTCTTTATTAGCTTGCTGGAGTCAGCTTGGCTTCTCGAATTGGGCTGGGACTCCACGGACTGCACCATCCTGCTGGAGATGACACACCGAGAAACGCCTCACCACACCACAGTCCGCGTCCGAAGTCCTGACCCCCGAGCAGATCGGGCTCCCTGAAATGGTGCCGGTCTTTCTTTGCCCCATTCGCTGGCAGTGGGCCAGATCCTCAGCTGCTGTAAATTGGTATTGGCATGGATGGACCAAGGCTGATTTACACCCGGTGAGGATCCAGGCCTTTCTTCAGCTCTTCTGCATGTTGGATCAGTGTACTCTATTCTGTCCCTCCTCCTTGTACCAGTGGCTACTACCCAGAGGGAAAAGAAGGCAGAATTTGGCAGGTGAGAGTACCCCTTTAAGAGCAGAGCATGATGGGAGCCCCTGCAGGGTATAAAACAGAGCACTAAGGGCTCACACATGCTCTGGTGGTGACTATGATGATGGGGAATGTAATGCCTGAATCTTGGGTATTGAACCAGGTCCTTCAAAACTGCCCCACAAGTCTCAGTATCTTGAGCCAAAGAGCTAAGTGATGGCAAATCCTATGGATTGGTATGTGTGTGGGGGGGAAGGAATTTAAATTTTGGGGATATCTGCTTTTGGACAGAGATCCTCTGTCTGGCTGTGAATTCTGTAAAGTTTGTGCCATGTGCCTAGAGTGCCAGGTGTATCTTAGTGAATCAGCTGGGTAGAGAGAATTTGGGGACAGCCCCCATAGCCGCACTGAGCAGCGGTTTGAGTTTAAAGGGGATTTTTCCAGGCACATGTCAAACAGGAGCTGAGACCTCTTGGAAACCTGAGCGCCTGCAAATGGGGCCATCAGCGTAGGGACTGGGGCAGGATTCTCCTGTCCTCTCCCCAGTGCTGCCAGGGTGCTCAGCACTGGGCTTTCGCTTTGCCCTGTTCAGAGGCCAGCTGCAACAGTCCCAGCTGGGTCTGGGTTTGGATTCCAAAGCTCTGATGTCCTGCCTCGGTTGCCAACCCTCCAGGATTGCCCAGGAGGCCCCAAGAATTAAAGTTTACTCTGTAATGAAATTATGTCATGTGATGAAATCTCCAGGAATATGTCCAACCAAACTTGGCAACTCCCTCCCTCCTTCCGCAAGGCCTTCAGGCTTGTGGGTTTCAGGCTCAATCAGGTGAAACAATAATGTGACCTCCTCGCTCCAGATCGGCATGGGGAGGGGGCTGCGTACACACCCTCTAAACCCTGTGGAATCCAGCTCCCAAGGCATCATCTTCCTGACCCTCCAGTCTCTCTCCTGCTGCTGCTTTGTCAGGGGTTTGCCCTTTGCTCTCGCAGGGGCCCGTTCCGCCTTTGCGCTCTCCCATTCGGAAGCGGCCTCTGAAATAATTAAACCATTTGTCACGGTGGGAATCGCTTTCCTCTTTCAAAGGCCGGTTGCCTGCCTGTGCCTTCCCCCCACACCCTGACAGGCCTTCTGTAAAGCCTCAGGCCTGGGCTTTCTTTGCCCCAGTGCCCTAGGGGATTGCATTCCACATTTCCTTGCTGGGGGAGGGGAGGAGGGTGGGAGCTAGGGAGGAGATTTAATTCCCAGCACACAGAGGGGCTGCAGAGTCCAAGCTGTGGAGGGCTCAGTGCCCCTAAAGAGTCAGCTAACGCCCTCCTGGAGCAGCTTTACTGCATCCTGGGCTGGTTCTTAATAACATCTGCAGAGCTGAGCAGGGAGCACAGGTCTCTGCCAGACACAGGAGATCAAGCCTGGTGCGTGCAAGGTCATGTTGCATGGAGGATGCCATTTTGAAGAGCACCCACCCACCCCCCGCAGCAACCTGGGACGCATCCTGCGGGGCAAGGTCGTGTTGCCGGTGGGGACATGCTCTTCAAAATGGCATCCTCCAGGCATGCTACCGGACACCAGCTGAACCAGAGAAAAACAGGCTCAAAACCGGACAAGTGGCCTGTTCACGAATTCCTGTTGTACTGTTGTTCCCCTCTGCCAAGCAACAGCTGGTCTATGGGGCAGGCAGCCTTGCATCTTCGTCTCTTGTTGGAGAAGTTAATGAGGCAGAATCTGGGGATCTGCTTAGTGAAACTTGCTTGTTCAGACTTTATAGTCTAGACCCGGAAGAGAGGTGGTTGCAAATGGCACTTGGGCCATCCCTTCTTTCAGAAATCTCACCCCAGGGCCTAGGGAGCAACTCTGCACCCCAAAATTGACTCTAGTTAGTGCGATTAAGGCAGAGCGCAAACTCCTTTGTTACATGGAAGAACTGCCCCTAGAAGAAACAGCATCACAGAATTAACCCCAATGCAGTGTTTCTTCCAAGACTAAAATCTTGCTCACGCACCCGCCAAGAAAACAAACTTGTAAGACTATGTGAAAGAGCGCCATCTGGTGACCCCCCCCAAAACAAATACTTATCACAGTTCAGCCCTGGGTGTTCTCTGTCTCCAGGGCTAATAGAACCAAAGCGATGGATCCAGTCACCCTCTTCTTCCACATGCTGGGGAAGCTTTCTTAATAGAAATATTGCGATTTCAGGCCCATTTCAAGTAAAGGCTTTGTAGGTGTATGTTGGGGGATATGCGGAGGTGAGGGCTCTGTGTGTTCTGTGGCTTGGTGATTCTGCCTTAATAAAATGTACTTAGCTCAGAGCAGGGGGGGAATGGCCATTCATAATTGCATCCGTCTTCATGTTTTCTTTGCACAGAGGCATGTTTAGTTAGATCAAAGCCAGATTATGCGAGAGAAACTGGATGAGAACAAAGAACCAGCCCTTTAAAGATTACATCAGGGAGGTTCTCCTGGCTCCCAGGGTGTGTGCCAGATGCACTTTCCCTGAAAATAAAGCCTAGAGATGATTTCCTGACTGCCATTGTCCTGACATGAGGAGGGAATGGGTGCAAGGGCGGGGAGCCAGGACACCTGCGTTCTTTCCCCAGGTCTGGGAGGGTCATGTTGTCTAGTAGTTAGAGCAGTGGGGACTGGGAGCCAGAACTTCTGGTTTTTGTTTTGTGTCCCCCCACCCCACCAATCTGGGTGAGGAGCATGATCTAAATATTTGTTAGACCGGGCAGGCTGAGGAATCAGGAGGATGGATGTGATCTATTCCCAGCTCTGGAAGGGGAGTATGGTCTAGTGGTTGGCAAGGGGCTAGAGTGGGGGGAATTGCTGGGTTCTAGTCCGTCCTCTTTGTTGTCCTGGGCATGTTCCTTCGCCTCCTTGTGCCTGTGTTTAGTGGGACAGGGGGTATCCTAATAGTGGGCGGGGGTGTAATTAATGTAGAGGAAAGAACTTGGAGATCTTCAGATGAAACATGCCAGAGAAGCGAATAACGACAATAGCTATTCCTGAAATGCTCACGAAAAGTGACTCTCGGGTGACTGCTTGGTATATGTTAAATGTAGGGTCTGATTCGGCTCTTATTTACCCCCGAAAGACCCCACTGACTTCAACTCCGCTGGAGCTGAACTCAGCCTGTAAAGTTAACTCCAGCGTCTCGTGACTCCAGGGTTGTATAAGCGGGCTATTGGATTGGGATGCGGCTGGCTATGTGAATTGTTCTTACTATGCCCATTTTTAAGGCTAACGAACTGGACAGCTGGAAGCAAACAAGACTCCCCGCCTGTTTCTTCTGGGGGCTTCTGGGCAAGGGTACTGG